TATATATTACATTTGATCAACCAATAAAAATTATCATAAATCACATGATATGTTCGTACAATGTATATACTAAAAAAATTTTAAGCTCGTACGTACGTACGTGTACGATTCCAAACCCTGTTTTAGACATTTTATTTTATATCTACTTTGGCGAATATTGATTTTATTTATTTCTCAGTTTCTTAGTTATATTAAGAAAGAAAAGCCGAGAACAGAGTCTTGTTAATTATTTAATTTGTATATCGAATTTTAATTTTCATAGTTAATTTTCATGTCAACTAAAAAAACACATTCCAGTTTTAATAATATGAAAAAGTAAAATAACTGAATAACAAATTACAAATAATAAATAATAAATAATAAAAATCAAAAATTAAATAATACAGTATACCAACTTATGGAATTTTATATCTGAACCAAAAATCCGTTATAACTTGATAATTCGTTGAAACTGTAATAATGTTATAAATAAATATAGCTAATGTTTCAAATGTATTATTCATAATTACTAATACTAATAGTGTTGACATACTAAAAATCCATTTCGAAACTAATTTGGAAATGGATATTAGGAAAATAATTTTTGCTGCAAAATAATGATATAACGGATATGATTATTACTTTGTGTTACAACGAAGTTTTAAACTTATTTGCTTCACATAAAAAAACATATAAATTTGTTTGATAATAATAATGATGATAATAATGAGTGTTTCCATAGTAATAGTAATAGATGTATTGAAACGAGGTTTTCAAAAAAAATTTCAAGCCGATCATACTATATTAAATATTCGTCATACATTACTCATGAGTAGAGTATGATTTTTATATATAAATGTGGTCAATTATATTTGATGTGTAACACCCCAATGCCATATGTTTGTGATTATACCACCCTTTGCCCCCTTATTTTTGCACCCATGTGTGTAATTTTATGAAATTTTCCTCAAATAGAAGTGACATATTAAAGCAGAGAGACAGTTAGCAATAACAATAAAATAACAATAGGAAATAAAAGTTTTACTGTAGATATTAGAAACTTGATTATTTAAAAATTAATTATATATAAATTGTGAAACGTAAAATAATGATAATCATTCAAGTCAAAAAAAGGCACTGACTTTGTCACATGATTAGCTTGCGTAATGTATTTAATTACATGGCACAAACAAAATAGGAAAAATTTTATGGAATTTTATTATTTTGGTGCGCAAACACATTGTTCTATATAGAAGAGCATTCCAATATGTATTATGAAATATAGTTTAATCGTTTTTTCATAGTACTTTAATTTTGAGCAAGTTATCTTTAACAATAAGACTTTAATAATAATGGCTTCGTCATAATTATTTAATAATAATAAAAAACAATACAAGCTTCATTTTTTTTTTCAATTAAAAAAAATTTTTTTTGTCTTTTATTTTCTTATTTTAAGATAATAAAATATACAAATATATCAATAGTAGCACACGAGTAAGCTAAACATATAAAAAAAACGAAAAAAGTAATTGATTTGATTAAAGAGGTAAATAAAAAACTCGCAACATAAATTTCTTGCACTTTAATAACGAAAAAAAAGGGAGAGGAATATTATTATTATTATTATTATTAGTAGTAATCTCAATATACTTACTAACCATACATACGTTCTTTCTTTCTCTCTCTTTTTTTCCTTCCCTTAAATTTTTCTAGTTTTATTATTTTCCTTTACACAATAATTTTTATATTTTTAAATTTCTTTATAAAAAAAAAAAAGACAAAAAAAAAAAACCAAAAATTAATATATAACAATAATAATAACGACAAAATAATTTCAAGTAATGACTTCAATAATTTCAATAATGGAAAAAAAATATCTTTATATTTTATCAGTAAACTATATAATATCAACTCAATGTCTAGTATCATCTTCACCATCACCATCATCATTACCGACACTGTCATTTTCATATAATTATAGACGTTCAACAACTTATTGGGTATTTTGGTATTATGGTGATAGTGGTGATAGACAATGTGGAAATTATTGCATAATAGTATTTTCAATAGTAGCGTTTTTATTATTATGTATAATATTATGTGGATGCCTAAAATGTTATTTCATAAGACAACGTTATAAAGAAGATGAAAAGTATACTGGTGATTCAAGCATTGAAAACGCATTAGCTGCAGTTTGGCCTGATCAAGCTCGTAAAGAACAAGAAGCTGCTGCTGAACTACAAAAGAAAAGATTGAATGAACAATACCCACCATTAAAATCATTATCTTCATCATCTACCGCTTCTCCTTCATCTCCACTATCATCAAATCATGATAACAATCCACCTCCAGCTTACGGCGATGAAACCGTAGGCGATGAACCAAATTTTTTTCATAATCTTAGACGTCGAAGCCCATTCCAGGCTGTAAGATATGCTAATAAATTTTCAAAAGATCATCCACCATTTGAAGCTTTACCACCCCCTGAACATATGAATTACCTTAAAGATACTGGTATAAACGCATGGAAATTTTCTGACGATAATTTAATAAGAGCAAACATTATCAGTATATTAAATGACAGAGGAAATGTGATAAGATTCAATCAAAAATTAGATGCTATGGTACAAACTAATTATCCATTAGTAGAATTATACGAGTTCAATGAAAATACAAATGAAAACTCCAATAACAACGAAAATTACGATAACAATAGTAGTGATAATAGTAGCAGTAGCAACAATAATGTTGTCCATAAAATCGTACCAAAACCATCTCAAGCTCATCTATTAAGTAGTGATAATCAACATCAAGACTTATCATTGGCACCTCCACCTTACGAATTACCTTCAACTTCTGCTCTTGGCAAACCTGGCAAATGGTTTTATTATTACGAAGTTACAATACGTTCTAATCCTAATAAAAAAGATACAACAATTGCAATTGGTTTGGCAACAAAACCTTATCCTAATTATAGGTAATCATTGTTATTATTTAATTGATAGTTTTTCTTAAAAAAAATTTTTTTAATTTATTTATTATTCATTTTATTAGATTGCCTGGTTGGAGCATTCATTCAGTAGGTTATCATTCAAATAATGGAAATAAATTTCATAATGAGTCATTTGCTGGCAGAGAATACGGTGAAAAATGGGGCGACGAAGGCGACACGATAGGATGTGGATATTATCCTAATACTGGTTATGTGTTTTTTACAAAAAATGGCAAATTTCAAGAAATTGCATTCACTGGATTATTTCATATCTGGTTTCCAACAATTGGTACAGATGGCGAATGCACTATGGAAATAAATTTCGGAGATAATAATGGAAAAGAATTTGTGTATCAAGAAGCCATTGGTATGAGTGTATGTGGACCTATTAATAATGAAATAATATCAAATGAAAATGAATTACATATTAGTAAAGTCGAGAAAAATAATTATAATTTGTAAAAAAAAACTTGGTTTTTTTAGTTTTATGGGATTCACGAAAAATAAAAAATGACTAATTTTTCACTGATATAAAATTTTTCATAATTAATTACTATTCATTATTCATTATTTTCATTTATTCATTCATTCATTAATTAATTCATTCATTCATTCAAAAAGAAAAGTCATGTTTTTGTAATATTTGTATTTTTAATTGTATATAATATTAATAATAATATAATTATCATAGAAACTTTAATTCAAAAAAAACAAAAAAAATTTTTGTATAATTATTCCTACTATAATTTAAAATAAAAGTTTAATATTAAATTTACGCGTCAACAACTCTTACGTACGTATTTTTCTTTAAATTACTACGATTACAATGACCCTTTCTTGGTTAACAAAAAAGTGATTCGGAATATGAATTAAAATTCCATTTATATAAATAATTGGATGATCTGTTCTTTTTTATCTATTGATAACTACTATGAAGTTCTGTGCCTCCTTGTACAGTTAGTTACATCATGATGATAACGTGCAAATAAGAAAATTTCTTGATTATTTATTTATTATTATTCAAAATATTTATTTGTGTAAGTAAATATCATTCACCCCATTCAAAAAGCATTAAATAATTTCTAAATTATTGTTGTTGAAAACAATTTTATTTTGTAAATTTGTACATGTATTATAATATTTTGATATCAATAAAAATATCTTTATTTATAATTGTAAAACATTATTAATTAAACAAGGTATAGAAAAAACAATCCTACTATGAAGGGAAAATCAACAAACGAATTAGCATTCTTTTTTAGATGTAACGAGAAGAACCTGGGCATCAACAACAATACCAACTTTATTGAAAGGCCTATCATTCTCAGGCTTCCCAACATAAACACGAAAATACTTATTGCCCATAAAAAATTTCGTCGAGTAACTTGGAAAATACCCTTCGAAAAAGTCGATCAAATAAATAATAATAATAATAATAATAAGAGTACTTGTCATTCGCATTTATCGTAATGATTCTAAATTTGATTGGTTTGGTAACCTAAATTTGGGCTAAAATCCTATTTGTCAATTAATTTGTGTTTAAAATACACTTCCTGGTCATAAGGACACTTGCAGATCATTGGAAATAATTGAATAAAGAAACATGAAAAAAATTTTTTTTTTTATTATCCTAACCACATTTGCTTATTAAGTAAAAATTCATCTTCATATCAAATAGTATAATATACTGAAGTTTC